GCTCTTATTGCATTTTATTTCACTACTTATAAACTGATAAAGGGGATTATTTTCTTATGTTAAAACTTATACAATAAAAGAAATAGTTCTGCAGCTCGGAAAAAATTGTTGAAGGGGTGTATTCTTGTTGATTCCCAACACTCACAAAGGATGCTTTAGCTCGGGAAAAAGAATACTAAATGGGTTATTTGTTATGCAAAACAAAACTTTATTGCAAAGGCATTATATTCAGCAGTATTACCAGAGTTCACACATATATTAAATTACTTGAAACAAAAAACCAATGCTTATTTAATACATTCCAGTATTTATAAATTGATGCAAAATTTTTCTCTTTTTTATGAAGCCAGAAATATAGAGTGCACTCTTATAATGATTATTAAAATTGATGTCAAATCCAAATTCCATCTACTAGCAAAGTAATATTTACTGGTGCAGAAGCTTCCACTCTCCTGAAGAAATTATCAAAAAATCATCCAATAGCAAAAAAATTCCAAATTTCTCTGATGAAAGCTCATACTAATACAGCACAGCATATGAAAAGAAATTACCCCTTAAAAATTCATCTAATTAGTTTTACGCATTAGATCCAGAGCTAAAGGTAAACCCTACAATTTAGCTTTTGAAAAATTATCTTTTATGTCTCATTTTTAGTGGTAATAAAAAGTCAAAAGTAGAAGCTGAAAAGGTTTACCAGAATGATATTGATATCACCAAAGAAATGCTCTACACATCTGATGAAAAGTGGAAATCCAAGTCAAGTGTACAATTGATAAATATTGGTCTAAAGTTTTTAATTTAAAAAGATTATTTCACAAATGATTATAAGTATCCTACTTGGCTAAATTGGTCAAAGCCTGCCTTGCTGCTTCCATGGCCATTAGTGGAAAGTGCATTCACTTAATGATACATTGTCACTAGAGAACCTCTCTTAAGATTGTTCCCTAGATGCAGTGCAGACTATTAAATATGATTTAATAGCTCTAAAGAAACCCTGTGAAAAATATGGCTAAAAAAACCAATGACTGATCCAATTCACAAGATCTCTTGCTGAATAAACAGAAGTTGGAAAACATATCTAGAGACTTAAAAACCATGTTTCAGATGAGTCACCTATAAAAGTCTGAAGAACCTTCTACATTACAGAAAAACAAACTGCTTCTAACTCTGAGTGAGTTCTCGAGGAAATTTCTTCAACTGTAAATGAGGAAAAAAGTCAACCTTCCTGCAATTATGAAGTTCACCACAAAAGAAAGACAAGCCCACAAACATCAGAAAATAAAAAAAAGCAGCAGAATTAGATAATTTTAAGAATTAATTCAGGTAGTTGAAAATTTATGGTTATTAATTTGCAAAAAAAAGTAATTCATTGAACTTTATAATTAGGTCATTCAATACTTCATAATTGTAATTTTTCATTTCTCTTCCCCCCCCTTCTCGAAACTCCAAAATGTCGGTAAAGTAAGTCCATAAAAGTTTCAGGGGATTTTTTGGGGTCCCACAAACACCCCTGTTCATTGATCATCCATAAAAAATCCTAAATTTCTTAAGTGTAGAAATGTGTATGAGTTCTGTTTTCACTAATGGCATCTTTTTGTGATTATAACTATAATGTTAATATTTATAAATAACATGCCACCCTTCAAAAAGCAGATATAAATGATCAATGTTGCCATTGACAAGCATGAAAATATTTTTGTTGTCATAAATATTATTACAGTTTTAAAGGTGCCATGTATGTAGTTAGCAATGTAAGTTGATTTCATGCCTATTTTCATGCTGTAAATAGTTTGAGCTAATTATTTTATATTTGATTTTAAATCTTTTTAATTAATAAATGCTTTTTTGTCCTAAATTTTATAAACATTTGTACCATTGTAAACAGTAAAAGATGTTTCTAATGTCCTGTATTGCATACATGGTTACAGATGAATTTTTTGGGTATCTCGTAACAATCAGTTTTCTGCATTTAAAAAAAACAACTAGGATTAGGTATAAAATATTTCGAGAAATACCTCATAGTCTTTCATTATAACTCTGGATGAATCTATATTTCTAATTTAGATTGTTACATTATTATTACTTGTTTTGTTTATTTTTTATTTATTGAAATGATACACAATTTTCATAGATGAACATAATTAACCTCTTGTATTATATTTTTAAGATTAAGGACTTTTAAAATGTTCTGTCACTTTCTTTTTCTGATGTTACACTTATTTTGTTGATTTTTGACTATATTCTACATAATTATATATATTGCCAAAATATTTTTATGAATATCTATTAAAAGCAAAATTACTTTTAATGACTTGCTGAAATGTATATGTGAAATTAAATTTTTACAGCATTGCAGTATATGATTTGGGTGGAGGTACCTTTGATATTTCTATTCTTGAAATACAGAAAGGTGTTTTTGAAGTGAAATCTACTAATGGAGACACATTTTTGGGAGGTGAAGATTTTGACAATGCTCTTGTTAATTATCTTGCCAAAGAGTTTAAAAAAGATGTAAGCTGTTTTCTAACTTTTATTTTAAAACTTTTTTGAGTGCATGGAATCAATTTCTTTTAATATTTAACTTTGAGTTTACTTTTTTTATAGCAAGGTGTTGATTTGTCGAAAGATACCATGTCAATGCAGAGGTTAAAAGAAGCAGCTGAAAAAGCTAAAATTGAATTATCATCATCTGTACAGGTAAAAGAATTTGTTTTAAATGTGTTGGTACTTGTTTACAATAATGAATGAAACTTCTGTTGAACAAATATAAATAATTCATAAGAGTATAATGCATGTATAAACTTTAGTTTTATTTCAGATGTATAAACCTTAAATACTTTTATTTCAGATCTGTATATTTAGAAGGAAATGGATTATGTAATTATTTATTTTAGGAATCTTTTAAGCTGCATAATTTTAATAATTTTTTTTATAATTATACGATATAAACAACTGAATTTTTTATACTCTTTCGTTATGCACTAGTCATGTTATTTGGAGCCTGTGAAAGAAAAGTAAAACACCCACCAACAGTATCATCTGGGGACTGTGCATAAACAAGACTAATTAAATATTATTACAATAGTATTGCACAAATGCATGCAGGTGCATAATGGAAAAGTACCAAATTTTTAAATTGCAGTTATAAATTTTCATATCATAGTACTTTGTTTACTAGAATAACTGATGAAGCATATAAATTTAGACAAAAAATAAATGGGAATTAGCCATATCATGCACAGAGTTGCCATCTCTCCCGATTTAGGCGGGAGACTCCCGATTTTCGACCGCTCTCCCGCCAACCCGATTTACAATGTATTTCTCCAGACTTTTCCTTATTCTTAATATTTCTCACAATTTTTATGGAATGGCTTATACTTCATTATATGAACAGAAAAAAAAAAAAGTGATTTGGACGTCTGAAAGCACTGAATTTTCTCTAGATTATATCTAAAACAAACCTGCGAATCAGATGAGAATTTCTGCTTTGTAAGTAGTGACAGCATACGTATTCCAGAAACGTTGTTTTCCAGTGGGCCTCGAGCTCCACTGCATGTCATCTGGCATATATTAGTCAGTGAGCACAAAACAAGCTCAAGGCCGTTATTTGGATGTTTGAACTGTCTAGAATTATGTTGTCCATCTTGACAGTTCTCCATAGTAATGCGGAGTATGAGAGGATTTTCAGTGCTGTTGTGAAAATGAGGACTAAATTTAGATCTAATATTAGTGATACACAGAAAAACTTTTATTAGCGAAAGCAGGCCTGCATGGCAATTGCTATGAACAAAATTATGAAGTTTCTTTCTAACGAAAGCAAAATTTGCCACTGTTCATAACATTTCTACGTAAACTGATTCAAGTGTCTTTTTTTTTTTTTTTTTTTTTTTTGCAAGTTTTTTTATGCAAGGTATTTTGTGTTTGGCTTGCATTTAAGATAGTACTATTTAAGTTAATTCATGAAAAAAACTATATTTCTGTCATTTAAAAGTCTTTAACATTGTGAAAAATCTCCTGATTTTTGAGTGTCATAGGTTGGCAAGTATGCATGCATATTGTTATAAAATGCCCAGCTGCAGTAAGATAGCTTCCCTGCAAGGTGGGTTTAGGTTTGTCAGAAAATGGTAAGGGAAACAGTGTTGTCATATTTTGCGCAAAAATCGCCCATTTGGCGACAGAATTCTTGATATACCATAGGCGAATGCAGAACCTTCTAGAACAAATTCTTACTGGTTTGGCACAGAATGTTTTGGAGGCATCCCAAAAGCTATGTAAATCTTGCTGGTATGCAGAGTAGTGTCTTGTAGTCTGACGATCCTAAGTGTGTCTTGTCAAAGTCTCTTAGTTGAGTTGGTCATCAAGTGTATCGTGAGAATGTCACATAGTGCATCGAGTGGGATTGATGCATATTAGTGTGCATTGTTGAGGCTATCGAGTTTTATCTTGAGTGTGTTGAGCTTTAAGAACGACCAAAGTAAGTTGGAAGCTGTACCCTAGTGCTTTGCTGTGAGGCTTTCTTCACCGTTATAGCCTGAAGGCTGTGTTGCTGATTGTTTCAGCATGTTTATAGTAGTTTCTCAATGACTGTAAACATGATTTTAGAGCTGTCCTGAGCAATACTGCCTAAATGAATTGTGTTTGATTCTTCATCAAGTGCTGTTGTCAATCATTCAAAATCCACAAACCCGTACAAAATTGTAACAATATTATTGTCGAATTAAGTGTAAAGAAAGTGTTTCAGATAGCAGCAGCAGATTTTATTACCCTCCCCCAAAACCAAAGAGGTCATACATCACCTGAAGGGGGAAAAGTTAGTCATTCCATGTTTGTATCATCTATATGTAAATGTATATCAGAGCAATAGTTTTGTGTGCACATGTTCTGGTTATACTGTAAAGTTCTTGTAATGTGTTGGCTGAGGGCAGCAGATACAGTGTACTTTGTCTTCAAGCGCACACAAAAAAAATTCACGGCTTCGGGTCTGGATACCAAGGAAAATTAAATTTTAGTCCAGGTTTCATATGTAGATAACAGTGGCTGGGAACTTTCAAAACCCCAAGAAATTTATGAAATTTATTACTTGAATTTTTTTTATTCTTTTCGCTCTTTTTTTAAATTGTCATTGCATTAATACAATCCATGGTTTACTGTCAGTTATGTGAATGCCCCAAATCTCAAAAATATATATAAACTCGTTTTTCAAAAATAGTTTATCAGATGTACAAATAAAAATTCTGTTGTGTTCTTTTATACCATCAAGCATCAAAAGTAAAAGCTTTTGATAGGACAGCTTTATCGCTTTATTTTTACAAATTAATCAATAGAAACCAATTTATACTTTTCTAGTATTAAAATTTACTGTTTATTTCAGACTGATATTAATTTGCCATACCTTACTGTGGATGCCAGTGGTCCTAAACACATGAACATGAAGTTGACTAGAGCCAAGTTTGAAAGTTTAGTGTCTGATCTAATTAAGAGAACTGTTGATCCCTGCAAAAAGGCCATAAATGATGCTGATGTGAAAAAAACTGATATTCAAGAAGTAATTTTAGTGGGCGGTATGACCAGAATGCCAAAGGTAATTTTTAAAATTATTAGAAATAATACTGAATTTATAGTATACTTTTCATTACTATTGAAATTATGTACCAATTATATTTCTGTGATTTTTATGTTTTAAACTTCTTAGTTAATTACATGTTTTAATTTGATGAAATAAATATTTCTATTCAACTTTAATTGTTATTTACAGGTTCAAGAAATGGTTCAGGATATCTTTGGAAAACTTCCTAGTAAATCTGTAAATCCTGATGAAGCTGTTGCTGTAGGAGCTGCTATTCAGGTAAATAATAAATATAGACAGTGATTTAGTTAATGGGTTTACTTCAGTATTTTGACTATAAGTCGGCGAGACATCAGGATTTAGACGTGTGAAAAAATTATTTTTATGAATTTATGCATTTTGTAAAGAAATGTGAAGAATTAATATTGCAGTATTCATTCATTATGTGTTACTTACTGTTAAATAAGTCATAAATTTTTAAGTCCAGTATATATGTATCCAGTATATGTATATACTAGAATATAAGTGCCTAAAACATTAATGAGATAAAATTAACAAGTGTTCAGCTTTTTTGGAGGGGGGTTAGAATATTCTTTCATTTGTGTTTATGTACTGAAAAATTATTTTAAGCACATAATTATGTATTTTGATTATCATTATTATTTTTAACTATGTTGGTTATATTAAACAGGGTGGTGTATTAGCTGGCGATGTCACAGATGTTTTACTTTTGGATGTGACTCCATTATCCTTAGGTATTGAGACTCTTGGAGGTGTTTTCACCAAACTGATAGGAAAGAATACAACTATTCCTACTAAGAAAAGTCAAGTGAGTAAAATTTTATTTTTGCTTAAAATATGAAACTTTGTTTTTAGGTTTTCTGTTTTCATTTAGCTTTACTTGAGTAAATAAAGCCAGTAAAGCTGGAATGAACTAGTTAGAACAGTCTCTTATACACCTTATGTGTTAAATATCTTGACTAAAAAAGTTTTTTTGTATTTATCATAAAAGCGATTATCTTTTAGACAGTGGAACTTGTCCTGATGTATTTTTGACTTGGAAAATACTTTCAGAGGTATTTGTGACTTGGAAGTTAAAAATCATAAATATTGTAATCATTAATTAATTACAATAATCTACTTGAAATCGCATTTGCACTCTGGGATTCAAGTTTAGATTTAAGTGCATAAAGGAATTGCAATTTATGATCTTGTATGCTGTTTTCAAATCATATTTTCAAGAGTTTTGATACAAGTTAATTTATTAGATCGAATCTATTAGGATAATAGTTATATATATGAATCCAAAACGAGCTTCTCATAAGGTCTAATTAGAGGTATAATAAGGAACTTCAAGCTTCCATTTTCTACCTTAAGAAAATATCATGGCAATGCGTTCATGTGTTAGCATGAAGCAGGGTGCTTAACTCGTAGTGTTTTTTCAGTCGATTATTATCTGTTTTATTAGTTAGTCGATTATTATCTGTAATTATTTCTACACAAATGTTAGTCGATTATTATCTGTAATTATTTCTACACAAATGCTGCCTTTTACTAATATAGAATTTGCTTTAATTGAAAGTAAACCCCCAAAAGAAGTGTTATTTAGTGTGGTCAAGAAAACAAAAATTATCCAAACATTTTCCCTGTATATGTGTTTTGGTTAATACTCTCTGCACTTTGAAATAAATAAAAAAAATGGTTTTATATAATTTTACCAAATGCAGAATTTTTAATATAAAGATATATCCTGGAAAGTGTAAATTTAGATTAACCCGCGAGCACACGCGGCGGGTATGTCATACCCATGCGCATTTTTCTTTTTGTATATTTCTCGCCCATTATTTCATAAAAGGTCGAAACTTGGTGTAGCTGAGTTCAAGTCACATACTTAATGGGGAAATTCCTGAGGTGGCAAGTGCAAACGTTTTTTAGGAACATTGTTCGGGCATGTCATACCCGTGCGTGTACTCGAGTTTCTCAGTGAGTCACTTCGCACTTCTCGTTTCAGCTTTTAGTATAGGTTTTCTTGAATGTAAGCATGGCGCCGTATATTCCTTACGATGAAGAGATTTGGAATCTCCTTGAAACTTTTTTTCTTCTGATAAGGATTCATTTATGAAGAAGAGGAAGATTTGATGACGAAGAATATAATAGTAATCATGATTCACCCATAGAGAGTAGTGATTCAGATACAGAAACAGAAAATGAAACTCTGAATGTAGCAATGAGTTTTATGTTGGGAAAAAATGGAGTAAAATGGAACAAACAAATTTCCGGACTAATGTTAGAATTGGCGCCAAAAATATTATAGCTAAACTCCCTGGAAATACAAAGTATTCTAAAGACGTCTCAACACCATTAGAGTCCTTGTCATTGCTTATCGATGAAGATAGTATGTTAAAACATGTAGTTGATAAAACAAATATTTATATTGATTCAGTACGAGAAAATTTCACTCGTGAGCGGGATGAGTACTTTTCTCAAAGCCTTAAGGATGCAGCTAATAGAAAATGTTCAAAATGAACGACGGCGAGCATCTGTGGTTCCTGATTCTGGACAAACACTGACCACCGATGAGCATGTTAGCAATGAACTCTCCCTCAAAAAAACCGAAAATGACTTACAAGAGGCGTACAGGGTGCTCCAAGAAAAAAGATAGAAAGACTAGATTCATTTGTGAAAATTGTAGCAAAAGTATATGTATAGAACATATGACCTCATTTTGTAAACATTGTTCAAGAAGTAAGTAAATAATTTTTCCTCTCCTTATTGTTTCCTATTTTGTCTAAAATGAAGTATTAACTTGGTTTTACATTTAATTTCTTTTGAAAAATGATTAATTTTTTTTGACAAATTTTTAATTACAATTTTTTTATTCTGGTATGACATACCCGGCGCGTGTTCTCGTGTTCGTCGGATCGTTGTGTGTGCTCGCAGGTTAAGAAAACAGTGTGAAGCTAATAAAGCATATTGAACTAAGTATTCAGCATTTTAAACTATATATATATTTGACATATATGTGTAAAAAACAATTGTTTTTTCTCAGGTATTCTCCACTGCTGCAGATGGACAGACTCAGGTAGAAATTAAAGTTTACCAAGGTGAAAGAGAAATGGCTGTAGATAATAAACTTCTTGGACAGTTTTCTTTAGTAAGTGCATTTACTGTTATGAAAAGATTTATTCTCTTTCTGTAATATGATCAGGTTTTAGCATGTTCCGGACTGTTTCATGTCAAATACCAGTTAGATCTCAAAGCTTGCAGGAGCTTTAAAAAAACAATTTCAGCAGCATTTTAGCTAATTTGTCACAATGCCAAGTTATTAAATGTGATATCTGCATCTTTACAGACTTTTTTTTTTTTTTTTTTGGTGGCAGAAGTATCACATTTAATAATTTTTGAATGATGGGGAAACTACATTTGGCATTTAATTATGTGAATCGTAATGCATTGCTGAAATTGATACTAGTACTGTTATTTAACACCATCAAAGATCAGTAAAATTTTCATATATTTGAAATATTTAAATTAAAATAGAAATATGCCTATGTAAACTTAGGCCCCTGCCCTCGGAAAAAAAAGGGGGGTCACTTTTATTATCTAAATTTACTTTTTTTGTTAGATAATTTTAAAGGTGCTTACTCTTTTATAAGGGCAATCTATCAATTTTAGTTCATACTTATATTTTTATTATAATTATTCAAAAACTGAATAAAAAGAACAGTTTTAACAATGAAGAATTTATATTAACCTGATATTAAGAGTTGATTTGTATATTTTTCTATGTATGAATTTAATTTAGAAAAAGAAAATTTCTAAAGCAATGACTTAATGTTATATTGTTTATGAGTATATTTGTATCATTAGGTTGGTATTCCTCCTGCCCCTAGAGGAGTTCCACAGATTGAAGTTACTTTCGATATTGATGCTAACGGAATAGTGCATGTATCTGCTAGAGACAGAGCTACTGGAAAAGAACAGAACAGTGAGTTGGATGTGTATTTTATTAAAACAATTATTATATTTTACCCTAAAATTACATTTATTAAAAAATTATTATAAATATACCCTAAAATTATATTACATTATTTAATAGTTGTAATCCAGTCATCTGGTGGATTAAGCAAAGATGAAATTGAAAATATGATTAAGAATGCTGAAAAGTATGCTGAGCAAGATAGGATTAAGAAGGTAATGAAATCTTAAAATATTTCTAGTGCAAATGTTGTCGAGGCAATTTTAGTTGGATGTCATAACTCTGTCTCTCCTCTTCTTTTTTTAAGGAAACTGTTGAAGTAGTTAATCAAGCTGAAGGTATTATTCATGACACAGAATCCAAAATGGAAGAATTCAAAAGCCAATTACCAGAAGAGGAGGTATTTTTTAAAATTAAATTTCTACTTTACATGAGAACTTTTAATTGCTTTTTATTATTTATCCTTGTAATCAAGTTAATTGAATTATTATCCATTTTGGTTCAATTAATGTGCCAGTATTATTTTCATGTTACATACATATGCTTTTCTGTTCTTGTGGTTCTTGAGCATATTTATTTTTTGGCCATTTTGGTTTAAATATTTACAATTATGAGGAATATTCATGAAGTTCTTGCCTGAAAATTCATTTGTTTCTGTATTTGAGACAATGCAACCTTTCATGCATTATTTGAAGATGCTATTTTTAAATATTCTTGTTTTAAAGTCATATTATGTGCATAAAATTTTCAGTATATAAATTTGGTCATTGTAAGGAGATAGTGTACTCTTTATAGAAATATATGAAATGGCATTATTCAGGCCAGCAGACTTATAGAGCTTGCCTAAATCTGTGCATATTACGTTTTGAGCAAAGGAGCACATTGGTTTCTTTGATTAGAAGCATGACCCTTTCATGCTACAGTAACCTATAGGCCCGTCCACACGAGGACATTCCCGACGTAGTTGACGTAACTTTTTTGACGGCGGCGTAAATTCGCGTGACGCAGAAGACGTAAAACTGAGTACGCTCCTGTTCAGCTTTTTCGCCTGCGACGCACGCGTATAGCCAATAGCCGACCGAGTTTTTATCACATGTCATAATAAGAAAACCTTCTTGCTTACCCGTTTCAATAATATGGCGTCAGAATCACACAGAGATGAGTTTTTGCTTAGAAATATCATAACTGTATACAGCAATAAAATAATCAGCATTGTTCACGCAATCTTCAGATTTCTCAAACCGTACATATTGGTATACATTTAAAATTCTCATCAAAGGGAAAAACTGTATATTTATAAAGCAATGATCCGACCAGTATATCCATATGCTTCACCTATTTATAGCTCCGTAAGTAATAGGAACCTAAATAAATTACAGTTTCTACGAAATCAGTTTCTGCCTTAAAAAATTCTCCTTAATTATTATAAATATTGGCTATATCTTGTGTAATAAAAAGCTCTATAAATATCCCAATATTAAATAACCAAAAACTAACTTCAGCAATATAACAACTTCTAAAATAAAGCAATTGACTGTGAAAGAGTATTCAATAAAATACAATTACGAAATTTTGGAGGAAAGTTACAACTTGTGTCATACGGCTATAATTTATTGAAGTTTCGTTAAATTACCTTTGCAGCGACTTCTACTTGTTACATTATTTTTCATAAGCACTGCTATCGCATATAGCTGAGTGGTTAGCGCTCTGCATTCCTCGCGGAGGAATGGAAAGATGGCGAGTTCGAACCTCACCCGTAGACGGTATATAATTCAGTTAGGTTTTCTCATTTTGAAATGTGTTTCTTATATTTAATCATGAATCATTATATTCTTATTTTACCTATTATTATTGTTTCAGGGTTGCCACGCTACCGGGAGAACCGGGAAAAGTCAGGGAATTCGAAAATTGACCAAAATATTCAGGGAAAAGTCAGGGAATTTAAGTATTTTGTCAAATCTGGAAAAGTCAGGAAGTTCATACAACGATCCGCCAAAAAAAAGCGATTTTTGCGCCGACGTCGGAAGAGATAACTTTTTGGGCGAATTATGTATCACGTGAGTGTCATTCGGGTAGCTGGCATAGAGCCAATTTTCGCAGCTCCAATTTGATTGTCTTTTAGAAAGGCAAAGCAACTTTCCCGCAACTTTTGGTTTCCAGTATTCTCGAGAATCGCATGTGCAGTGCATGAACTAAAGAAAGTACCTGTTCTCGTATAAAACAAAATGGGTTTAATCATAGTATACGGTAATATGGAGGTTAGAATCATAGATTATGTATTGTTGTGTGCGTACGGGTTCGTTATGAAATGAATGCACAAGTCCGATGAAAAAAAATGAACAAAAATTTATTATTATCATAACAAAAATGCTTAAATTTTCTCAAATTATCACGCAGTATTACAATATCTCACAGTAGTTTTCTTTTAACTACTCAAATGTCCAATAGAACGTAATTCAAAACAGCTAAAGAACGCTAATCCACGAATTCGCTACAATCAACAACAGTAGTTTTTTTTTAAACAACAACAAACTAAGCAACTACTACAAACTGAGATGTTTTCCTCCTTTTATAAGATTTTAAAATCACGCGCTAGAATTTTCCAGTACTTTCTCGAAATCAAAAAGAATTTATTTATTTAACGCACGCGCTCTTGTATTTTCAATTTTTCGGCTTAGCTTCTTTTTTAATATTCGTCACGCGCTGCACTGCGCGAGAAATAAAACCATTTAATTTATAATTGAACTAACATTAGCTTTTTAAATACCAAATTCGTAACACTGCCCCCTTCCCAAGGACTGCAACGTCCCGGGCAGTACAATCCCTGGACAGGAAAGACTAAACTTACAACTGTGGCATAAATGCAACTGAGGCATAAACATTACAATCACAATAATCAAACAACATGAAACAATAAATGCAATAACTAACTTAAACAAATCAAATGCTATCAATACTAAATCAATACAATGATCAAATCAAAGGTACACAATTTAGAAAACAAAAAAGGACCATGGTCTGATACTATTTACAATTATTTACATTACGTACTATGGCCATAGTAATGAGCTAACCTGTCGTAATGAACGACTTCGAAGTCGACTCACGGATCCGAACCACGACGTCATTCGTGTTCAGCACTGTATATGGACCATCCGAAGGTGACTGTAATTTAGGTGACAGTCCTTTTCCGTCGAATCGGGTTCCACAACCACACCTTGTCTCCTTCTGTTGAATCTGATGTCTAGTAGCTCTTGTGTCGCATCTGGGTCTTCATTTTCTCCGTCGCCAAGTTGACTCGCTTTCGTGCAGAACGGTGCATCCCATCAAACCGGGCCTGGAGCATCTTGGATGTGTTCCTCAGGCGATGAAGGCGCATCCGTAGGGCGACCACTAACACAGGCGGTCACAAGGCAGACGAAGGTCTACGACCGAAGAGCTTCTGAGATGGAGAATAGCTGATAGTCTTGCGTTTCTTTTCGACCCTGGTATGATTTCGGCAGCTTCCCGAGCTCGATCTTTCGGACAAGGCGTCGACATTTCCAGGCGAGGATCCCTTTTGAGGATGGATAGTCATCAATTCCAGCTTATTGTTTGAAAAATTGTATTTCCTTAAAAAGTCCAATCCGAGTATGCATGGATCTGTAATATCCGCCACATATGCCGTGTGATGGTAGGCGGCACTTCCAAACGTGATGTTTACGTTTAACTTCCCAGTTATGTCGATCTTGTCACCAGACGCAGTCTGAAGGGTAACATAGGATGGCGTCCAAATAAGTTTATCTTTAAACTGTTGAGCTAAATCTTTCCTAATGATGGTAACATTAGCTCCTGTGTCAATGATCATATTGCAAGGAACTCCATCGATATTCCCATTGATGGACAGTCCGTTATTGTTGCCACTCACTATGGAGATCTTAAGCGCTTTTAAAACAGGGTTTTCATTATCTGGCAACCTCCGTTCCTTGATATGGTCATTAATTTGTTTCCTGCGTCGTTGCTCAGAAATTGTCTCAATTTTCGTACCCTGGGGTGTTCTGCAATTCTTTCGTACGTGGCCTTCAGCTCCACAGTTCCAGCACTTTGGTTTCTTGTCAGTCCTTTTCCTTCCCGTGGCATTTAATTGTCTGTTTAAATCGTATGCTTTATTTTCCGTGCTCTGGGGAGTTCTGCAGTTCCTTCGTAGGTGGCCTTCAACACCGCAATTCCAGCACTTTAGGGTCGGTTTCGTTTCACCACTATTCCGTCTTAAAGCATTCACTGGTCTTGTCAACTCATCCGTTTTATTATCCGTGCCCTGGGGTGTTCTGCAATGCCGTCGTAGGTGACCTTCAGAACCACATCTCCAGCATCTTACAGCCACTTTGTTCTCACTGCTACTCCGTATCAAAGCATCGACTTGTCTGGATAAATCATCTAAACGAGCCATCAATTGGTCCCCTGGGTCGTGGACTCGCACAGCTCTGACTGGGTAGCGATCTCTAAGAGTTGCTTGCTGGGCTGCCTCGAACTTCATGGCGTACACTAGAGCGCTTTTTAAATCTTTTACATCCGCCATTCGTAGAGCTTTTTGTATTTCAGTATCCCGGATGCCATCGATGAAGTATTGCAGGACAGGATTTCCCTTGTTTCTGTCGGGCACTCCGAAAAGGCGAGATGGGACAGCCTTTCAACATCCGTGGCGAGCTCCTGAAGTGATTCGGTGGGCTTCTGTTGACGGGATTTTAATTGAAGCCTGCTGTAGTCTTTTAAACATTTCTCGCCAAAGCGCAGCTCCAAAGCGCCGGACAGAGCTTCGAAATCTAACCTTTTGTTTTCGGGAAGAGTCTGAAGGATATCCGCTGCGTCGGCTCTTAAAGAAGCGGCGAGATGACAGGCCTTAGCTTGGGAATCCCATCCATTCGCATCCGCAACGATAGAAAACTGGGTCTTGTACACTTGCCAGGATGTCTTCCCATCATATGTAGATAGTTTCAGAACGGAACGAGCAGGCATCGATAAAAATTTAAAACCTTCAGAATTGTTTCCTACCGTCGCTACGAATTTCTTTAACGTTTCCATTTCTTTGGCAACTGCAGAAACTCTCTCATCAATTTGTTGTTCGACTTGGTGTTGGACGGCACAAACTCTTCCTTCAATTCGTTCCTCCACAGCCGAAACTCTCCCTTCTATATGTTCTTTTACAGAAGAAACTTTTTTTTCTATTTCTTCTTTCACCGAAGAAACTCTTTCTTCAATTTGATCTTTTACGAAAGAAACTTTTTCTTCAATTTGTCCAACTTTATTTTCAACTGTGTCAATTCTGCCTTCCATAGCTTCAAATTTATTTTCTATTATGCAGGTAATTTCTCTTTTCATTTCTTCTTGACATGCTTCAATCTTTTCTTGACCAGCTTGAACGGCTTTCATTTCGTCCTTAACGGATTCCTGGCCCAATTTCATTTCTTCCTTAACGGATTTGACGGCCCCTTCCATCTTTTCTTGGAAAGCAGCAAATGCAGTCATCATTTGCCTGAATTGTTCTTCCATCGCTCTTGTTATTGGCATTCAAATCCCACTTCTGACACCAAAAATTGTTGCGTGCGTACGGGTTCGTTATGAAATGAATGCACAAGTCCGATGAAAAAAATGAACAAAAATTTATTATTATCACAACAAAAAATGCTTAAATTTTCTCAAATTATCATGCAGTATTACAATATCTCACAGTAGTTTTCTTTTAACTACTCAAATGTCCAATAGAACGTAATTCAAAACAGCTAAAGAACGCTAATCCGCGAATTCGCTACAATCAACAACAACAACAACAAACTAAGCAACTACTACAAACTGAGATGTTTTCCTCCTTTTATAAGATTTTAAAATCACGCGCTAGAATTTTCCAGTACTTTCTCGAAATCAAAAAGAGATATTTATTTATTTAATGCACGCGCTCTTGTATTTTCAATTTTCCGGCTTAGCTTTCTTTTAATATTCGTCACGCGCTGCACTGCGCGAGAAATAAAACCATTTAATTTATAATTGAAGTAACATTAGCTTTTTAAATACCAAATTCGTAACAGTATTGTAAAGAAGGAAAACCTCTCTGCAACAGACGTGGCTCCGTTCCATCATAGAGGGAAACAGCTGTGCATGCGTGATATATCTGCCGCCAAAGCTGGAAACCGTGTCGAAGTTCGAAGGTCACGTTATCAAGAGTTCATTAAATGAATATCCTTTAAAATTTCTTTAACCACTTGCGCTAAAAAGACGTGCCACGCACGTCGAGATGTTTTTGTCTCAAACTGCGAGCGACGTGAACACCACGTCGATAAGCATTTATCGCAAAAATGAAAATAACATGGTGCACACGTCGCTTAACAACGAGATTGTTTATTTCTCAAGTTACAGCTCTGGATTGCACTCGCAGTTGCGGAGCGGCGTAAATGAGACACTTTACCGCTTGTTATAATGTAGCGCACAGCACCGCAACCGGGAAGTTTAGTCTTAGCGCAAGTGGTTAAACTCTTTTTGGCGCAAGTAAATTAATTCATGGATTAGTTATTTTCAGGCGAAAAAAAACTACGAAAATCCGTTTATAAAATTATTGCGTGGATTTTTCTCAATAATTTTAAAAACGGATTTTCGTAGTTTTCTTTTTGTCAAAGAGCGTTTCTTCTTAACACGTGTTTCTCAATTTCCTGTACACATCGCGGAGAGGGAAATTCTGGCCGCCAGGTTCCGTCGCCGAATCCCTTGGCAAATTTTTCCTCCGCATTCTAACGGCGTAATAGCATTTTACTTGTACGGAACCTTTTCTTCTTTACATAGATGTTCTTTGGTTAGAATAATAATGAGATTTGGCGACATCATGATGCGCAGTAAACGGGTCATTTTGGTCTTGGCGACAATTTTCAAAATCGTACCAAAGCCTTACCGTATACTAGAATTTTACCGCAAAATCTTTTTAAACCTTTTTTTTTTTCTTTTTAATAAATACCTTGCCATTTTGCAGTAAAATAAAAAAATAGTAATCAGTCATCTAGGCTAGCCATGTAATATAACTATATTCGCTAAAATATCGTTGATTATTATAATTCAATTTTTAAGTAATTTTTATGTTATTCATATAATTTAATGTTGCTTCTTCCCTCTAAATTTATTTATTATTAGTAAATAATATTTCCAAATTTCAGGAAATTTTCTCTGGCATAATCCAGAAATTAATTATAGCAGTATGATGACATACCATCACGAAATTTAATGCACATATTTTTTCGTTATGTATGCTGCGAAATAAATATAAAATACCTCAATTTATTAAAATAGATTTCTTTCTTCCGTTTAGCTGCAGAATGTCTGCAAAAAAAAAGCCTTATTTTGTTCCAGATTGGGAAGATTCTAATCTCAATCTTCAGTGGAGAAAACAACAACTATTATAATCATATTTGTGTTTTCAAGTGTTAAGGTGCCTTTTAAGAACATACCTCACGCAAATTAAATTTACCTAAAATCTAACCTAACTATTTAGCATTGTGTCGTGATTTATAAGGACCGGATTAGCCTCGTGTTGAACTGCTGATGATCATGAGTAATAATTAAATAAAACATACATTTGTTATCCAATGTATATATCTTGAATTTTATTAAGTGGAAAACTAAACAAAATTATCAAACAAAGTATACCAAGAATAAGTAAGAATAAATGTCCTCCTGGGATTTAGTTGAATAATTAAGTGAATTTGCTACACAACACAAGTAATGCCATAATTAATTTACCTCTTAGGCACAGCCAACATGCATTACGCGGATAGACTGGAATTTTCTTGAAACGAACCCTGAAAAAGTCAGGGAATTTCATTCTCCTGTTTGAGTGGCAACCCTGTTGTTTTCATTTCTTATTTATTATTATTATTATTGTTTTCATTTCTTATGTTATTCATTGTTATTATTATTGTTTTTAATTTAGTTTAAAAATGTGAATTGCAAATAGAAACCCTTACCATATCATGCTCTTTTATCATATATCATCTATAAATTCTGTATTTATTTTTACTTTATTACATATTTTATCATGCACATAATCTCTCATAAACTGTCCAAAGTTTGAACATCATTCTAAATTCAAAAATAAATAAAAGAAAAACAAAAGGCCAAGGGAGGATGAGTTAAAAAAATAGAAGTTGGTTTATTTTATGGTGGATGGTGTATATAAGAGAATTAAGTAATTTAATTCTCTTTATATATACTGTATTCCAAACCAATTTTATAAATCCTAATTTTCATACAATATATAACTTGCAAGTCTGTCAAACTGGTATACTCATCCTGAAGTAATTAAAAAACAAGTAATATACAAAAAAAAAAAAAATTAAGTCAATTCCTACTTAGGTCCACAAAGAAAATTTAAAAAATAAAAAAATAAATAAACAAATAAAAATTACAAACAAAATTTTTTTTAATTAAAATTTAAAAAATTTTAATATGTGAAAAAGCTGTCTTAACATCAAGTATCATTCACTACAAGTTTAAAAAATTGTATTTGAACTTGAGTGGATGAATAAAAAGCATTTTATGTACTGAAAATTTCAACAAGTATAGGGAGGTGTGAGCTATAGTAGGAATTTAATAATAATTCAGGATATTCATTTCGCAAACAAGGCCGTAAAGGAAAAAAATCTCTTTGAACTGGTCGCTCTAAATACATCTTTGGGGACCCATTCTCGCCGTTTTTTGCATTTTTGCCTCTGGTTAATGAATTGTGCATAATAGTAAAGTTTTAGCTATATAAAAAAATCATCTAATTCTGACATTTTGCTGCAAACATATAGAAACACAGTGAAGTAACAAGATGACAGCTCTGTTGATGCTATATTACAGCGTCACGTGATTTTTGCGCAAAATAATTCTATTGGTTAAACACACTCTTCGCAAGCATACTCGTTTGGACGCTTTTACGCTGGTAACATAAAAGCTCATTCGTCAGCTACGTTTCGAGCGTACTCGTGTGGACGGGCCTTATGACAAATTTCTTGCTTTCTGACCCTGATGGGTTGACATATCGTTGTACAGTTTAAGCTATCTAAAACAACACAGTGACCAGTCTGCAACAGATATCACAAAGGATATTCTGCCGGTACTTTCAGAAATGGTAGGAGTACTGAGACAAATGTTTGGGTTACGATGGAAATTTTAGTAAAGGCATAATTTTGTTGCATTTAAAATAGAATTGCTCTACAAGCATTTTTTGAAATATGTATATAATTAACATAAGATAGTTATTATAACTGAAGTTCTATAATCAAGAAAATGTCGATTTTATGTGACACCATATTTGTTAGGCTCTTATTTTCATGACATAATTTTAAGATAAAGTTCTTCTATCTCAATATTTTTCACATTGAAAGCCTTGGATTACACATATTTGATATGGCCATTAAAATATGAATGTTTTCAAAGATAATTTTGCTAAATATATATAATTTTATGATAAACTGCAATAAATAACTATTATATAAGAACAAAAGTTTTGATTTATAACTTCCTCCTAATTCCTTTCAACATAAATATTGTTTTTTCTATAATTAATAGTCAGCCCTAAGATTTGTTTGTGGGATAACTACTGTTCATGCAAGCTGAGGTTCAAATTCTAGGGCAATCATGAATACTTGGGATTGTAATAAATGGGGACATGTTAATCAGGAATGTCTCAAAAAACTGATTTGAGAGGAATTCATCAGTTGCTTATATTCCATCTCATGGATATTTTGATCAAAATCATGATGAAGCTTATACGAGAAGCCGTTATAGGTTTGCTTTAATTGAATTATCATTTACTTCTACAAGTAATCTTACAATTTTGTGGTTATTATACATCAGTCTATTTAAATATCCAGACGTGTTAAAATAATTAAAGGTTCATTAAGAGATGATCAATGGCATTCTTTTAAATTACTATTATTAGTTCTGTTCAAAAGAAGGTTTCCATATTTTATTATGGTTAATGTTTTCTTTTCTTTATTCCCAGGTGACAAATATCAAAAATAAAATTGCTGAAGTCAGGCAATTAATTTCAAATAAGGACCAAGAATCTCCAGAAATACTCCGCAAAGCTACACAAGAGTTGCAGCAGGCATCCCTTAAATTGTTTGAGGCAGCATATAAAAAGGTATCTAAATTTATTCATCATCTTTTTAATAGGCACAATTCAAAATTAATGAAAATATTTCTTTTGTTTCAAAAGAAATACCCTGTTATATTTTCATTTAAAAGTAATAAATGAAACTACTTAAAAGGTAACTAAATAAATTTAAATTGCAAATACAAGTATTGAATAATATAACCAAGGCACCATATTTCTAAGCTTTGTTAGCTTTTTAAAATTCTCCTTTAAAACTAGCATAATGAAGGTATGTGCGTTAGTATTATAAGAGAAAATTTTACTGCTAAAATGCATTCACATAAAAAGAATTACCAGTCATGTAAAATCCAAAAACCCACAAGACAAAATATCTACAGAACTCCTGTCCTATTGTTACACTTATCTTTCAATGTCTGTCCACTTCAACATTGTTTATCCATATATGTTTTGTCAGTTACTGTTATTATAAAAAGTTTTTTTTCAAATTCGTACTATTGCCATTTACCATTTTCTGAACTGTCTTGCTATGACTGTGTGCTTGATAACCGTTGGAAAACAAGAATTATGTGTTTTGTTTATTTTTCACTTGAATGTATTGTATATTTTTTACATTTAATTTTTTTACCTAACGATTGGAAAATTTGCTTTTCTTTTAATAACTAATTTACTTGAAGTACAACTTGATTCTTAAAATAAGTTTTCCCCAGGAAAAAATTATTTTATGTAAACAGATTATTTGGGATACTTCCGATATGCAAGTTTGATATAAACATAAGACTTAGGATATGCGTTAGATTTATACATAGCATTCTTCAAATATAGGTATTTGACACAAAATCTGACTTTTTCTCAAATGGCATGCCAATTTTTTTTCCATATTCCAATTCTACGACTCAAATTATGCCAACCTGCCAAGCTTTGTAAAAATCGCACAAGTAGGTTTTAAAAAATTAGCTCTCAAAATTTTAGCTCCTCTGTTAATTCAATTTGGTATGTATTTATTAATATCTCTTTTTTATCAAACTTATTTGATTCTTTTCTACACAGGTCAAAATTTAGGTTCATTCCGAATAAAATTCACCCATTTTTATGATTTATTTTTGAAATTTGTATTTTTAAATAATTTTTATAAATTTTTCGAAAAATTTTAAAATTACATATGATAAGTACTCGTACATATGATAATATATATGCATATGAAAATTACATATGATAATATACTTTAAGATGATTTTTTAAGCACAGCTGCAAAAAGTTAGAGCTTTTTATTCAAGATTTCTGAATCTATACATGAATTTATATATTTGTGCATTTTGAAATTTGGCATATTTGTTGAAAGCAATAATAATGAAAATGTGGTTTAGGCACCTTGTTAAAGTTATTTGGAAGTAGGAACGATGCGACTTTTTCCCACTTCTGATCAATGGAAGGAAAGAAAAGTACGTTGCCATATATTAAGAAGTTATGCCAAGTGAATTAGTCTTGGCTCAAACAGGAAAAAAAATGCACCAAGTTAAATTTTTGAAGTTCTCCGTAAATTTCGCACCAAATTTTACAAAATTTAATATTTAGGCATAATTTAACTCGTAGAATCAAAATATGAAAAAAAAACAGTATGTCATTTCAGTAAGTCCCATTTTGTGTTGAAATACCTATATTAGAACACAGCTATATATAAATCTAATATATATCCTAAGTCGCGCCTTCGAGGCATGAAAAACGCACTTTGAATTTCGGCAATCGGCCCAGTAGAACAGCAGGTATAGAACTGTGTCTTTTTGTGCAGTTAACTGCTTGTTATATAATCTTGTAGTGCCAACTTTTTCTGGGATTTATTTTTCTGATAAAGTATTTGTAGTTAGTGAACAAAGACTAATAGGTTAAGCTCACCAGATTTTACATAAAAGATTTTTTTAAAAAAAATACACATCTCAAATAATAATTAGAAAACTGAGTATAGTTTTGTTATTTAATCATTCATATTATTTAATTGGGCCACCCATGTTTGTTTTATAATTATCATGCACTAAATTCATAGAGGTGCAAAATTGTCAATTTGAAGACTGTAGGTGGCACTATTTTTTTTATTTAGGGGACTTTTAAGAAAAAAAAATGACAATACAAAAATTATTTTTTAATAAGTATTTTTCTACAAATTTATTTGCAATTGAGTATTTTAAGACATGTCAAGAAAAAATTTTAACGGAATAGCACACTTTATTATTCACGAAGATCTTCCATATATCATCCAGAAAGTTGGTTGGATCCTGTTTTCCTCCATTGGATATAAATTTCACAAAACACATTTTAGCACCAGAAACATAATTTATTATTTGTAAGTTGTTGAAAGCTTTGATGTAGTCTGTGTTATAAGAAGGTGTACAAGAATGAACAAGTATTCATGTTACCTTTTAACACAGTGCAGGTGATAAATGATAATTAACCTTTTGAGGTCCGGACTTTCCTAGTAGTAAAAGCTACCAAAGGACGGGGAATCTTGAACTGAATGCTTTCCCCCCTTTAAGAAATCACCTCCTATTTGCAACAAAGATTCTTGTGTGTAGTGTAATGGATTCTCTGAGAGGTGCATCTATGTTGCAAAAGGAAGACCTTCGAAGGAGATGAGTGGTTAAAACCCTAGGGATGTCAAATTTGACATTTCAACCCACTTTTCAGCCTGGAAAATGGGGGAAAACGACATGGCCACTAAAGTGGACAACCCCGTCTTTTCAAAGAGAGGACTCTATGGCCACCCTGTCTTCAAAAGGTTAAAGATAACATCTAAAGAGGCAAAGTGCAGAGTTAGGGGATATAAACAGTATGTCAAAAAGTACAAAAGGTTAAAGATAACATCTAAAGAGGCAAAGTGCAGAGAGTTAGGGGATATAAACAGTATGTCAAAAAGTACAAAATTTTGCCATGCTATGTCTTGAATTAATTTAATGAGAAGTTTGAATGCCAAACTTTTACAGTAATTGATTTAATTACAATCTTTTCATTACTGGCTGTTTTCTTTTTAGTATTATTCTCCCAAAAATATTTTTTTAATTAAATAATATTGAAGGAATATACCTGACATATCATGTCAGGGTTTGAACTGAGGATGATTAGTTCGTAGCTTTACCATCCTCATGGGAGAATTTGACACACACACAAGTTAGCATTTCAGTCTTAGTTTTCTTTTTGAAAGATGTGACCTCTCACATATGTAATTAAGATCCTTTATAATTATGCACAATTTGTGTAAAATTAATGAGCCCTCCTTGTAAGACAAATGCATAAATTTCATTAGTAGCCTACATCTTCCTAGAATTTAGTAGTATTATAGTAGAAAATACATATTAACATGTGTATAAATGCTGCAACTTTATAGCAGTAATAATAATAATTGAGTCTATGCTAAAGTAAAGGTTTGATTTTCAGAATATAACTATATAAACTGCAGTGTGTATTTAATAAGAATTTTTTCATTAATTACTTTTGGATATTTTTTGATACATGGATTTTTAAATATTTCAGATGGCTAGTGAAAGGCAAGGTAGCACAAGTAGTGAAAGCACTAGTGAGAGCTCTACAGAAGAGACAGAGCAAAAGAAGGAAGAAAAGAATTGACATCTTTTTTTATACAGATGATGAACTCAATAGCTGGCTATAAATATTCTTCATTTTGCTTGTGTTTTGAGTTTTGAACATCAACCAAGTTCATATATAATTGTAATGATGTTCATTACTGCAGAACCACATGGCATTGTAATATAGCTCATCACTAATTATGTAGATAAAAAATTTCAAGTAAAAATTCATTTCTTTTTAATTTTAAATAAATATTCTAAGTTCTGTATTTCATAGTCAAAAGTTTTTGACATCAGCTTTTTTTCCCAGCCTTCTGTAACATTGCATATCAGTTCTATTTCTTGAAAAATATCACTTCTGTCATTCTAGAAGAGAAAAATATCATTAGTATTTCCAGTTTGCTGTAAAATGCTGTCTAAATTATTGTATAAATTTCATTGCTTGATTTGCAGATTTGTGTTGGTACAAACAAGTATTCTTAGACTTGAAATACAGTATCATTTTCTTCTTACAGTTGTGGTCAGATTTATAATGCTAGTTGATGTTCAAATTAATTATGGCTTTGTGGCTTTGATGTGATATGCGTTGCCACAAAAATAATGTACTATCTAAATTAAACAACTGGTTACAGTTCACTTTACACATAACTATGGTAAACTATGACAAGCCATACTAATGATAATTAGTAATAAAATAATTTTTCTTTCAAGTTAGGCTAATTTGTAATGAGAATGAAGACTGAAAACATTTATTCATGATTTATTATTTATCAGATATATAAAAAAGGTCAAACAGATAAAAAAATTATTAAATTTTAAAAATATGGCATAAAACTAGTTCTTTAACTTTATTGATTAAAATAAATATGACTTTAGGGCTGTCTGAATGGGAGGGATCACTAAACAGCCAGTTTATTTGCTGAGATTTGAATTAGAGTTGGAACAACCAGTATCATGATTTTATTTACCTTGCCACTAATGGCATATATTTATTTTAAAATTAGGGAAAATAAAATTGGAATCTCTAAATTGTGCTTTTTTTATTATTTATTCATAGATGTTTAAGTTAAGCTGTTTTGCAAATACAAATGTCAGTTATTGGCTGTGTTGGCAAGTTCTGAAAGTGAATCATAATTTATCTTTCTGCCCCAGTTTCTCCAATCAGCGAACGAATTCACTTTGATTGACACCTGCAATCCGGTCGATGTGCAGTGATGGATGATGTACAGATGGAAGTTCAACAATGTTCAACTTCTATCCGCATGTCTACGGAAGCATTGGGGGGTCACGTGGTAAAAAAGGAGCAATTAGGTGTCGTCACCCAAAACTGATAGCGGCAAAAGTAGCGATGAATGCTGGATCAGGGAAAGAATGTTTTGCCAAAAAATACTTATTTTTGAATTAAAATTATAGCAAGAAATTGTAATGAAAAGGTTAGCAATTAGCTGAATTTAGTTTAAAGAAAATAAGATAACTGCAACTACAGTAGTAGTTCGCAGAGAGCAGTAATTATTGTCAAGAAGATTAGGTGCAAAACATATAATTCCAAGACCATGAAATAGCAAAATTTGTCCTTATAGTTATTTCCTAGTTCCGCATACACACTTTTAATGAAGAGGCATGTCTGATTATATCAAACTATATAAACAAATCAGTTAAAAACTAATGTTAGTTATAAATTAAATTTGATATCCTTTGAAATATTCTGCTGTATTGAAGAGTATGTTAAATTTGTATTTCTCTATTTATAAATATACCATTTTGGCCAACATATATTTGTAAGAATATGGAATATATTTTTTGCACCCCGTTTAACTTCAATCGGAACACCACTTTAAAAGATAAATGTTTTGTTAAGAAATGTCCTAGAAGCTGAAGTCACAAACTGGTGAATTTTTTAGACGATAGCACACTGAAATAGGACCAAAAAATTTAGTTTTAAGAATTTATTTACTTGCTGCTGTATATAAGATAAAATTGCATACCCTGCCCATATGATGATAGCTTAGTGGTAAAGTTGACGGTAAAATGGTTTACTTTTGGGGTTGAGAGTTCGAATCCCATATGCTTTTTCCACCCTGTCTGCAACTTTCTTAGCTTCTAGTAAAAAAATTATTTTGAAAATTTTGTAATACCAACTTAAAGCATATATATAGTTTTTTTTTTTTTCTCGTTTCATTTTTATGTGAACGTACATACATACATGTGCTGAGACTTTGGGATGTTTCCAGCTCTAAACTTTCACTACCATTTAACATGACACAGTATTAATTCCCTAACCATTTTTTTAAAAAAAATCTTATAATAATTGCTTTTAAATTCAGTCCTCTCCAGTAGAAGAGTAGGAATTAACTAATTAAGTATTTCCATTTTCTTTACCTAATGTGTATATATAAAGAGAAAATCTTATTTTTATAACTTTTATAGAAAGATATATGAATTAAAAAAATTTAAATTAAAATATTTTATGGATTATGCATAAAATATAACTGTGCATAGTGCATTTTTAAACAAATGAGATTTCTAATAAATTATCCAGCTATGACCCTGAATAAATTAAAAATGAAGAATTCAATGCTAAAATTTCATATAACACCTGCTTTCTCTCCAAATTTGGGCATATTTTAAAAATATACAATCTCGCATGGCAGTCCGCAGTATTTACAGGCATAGCAAATTTTGTGTAAATATTGCGAACCTTTCTTTACAGTTGCTCTGTATTTTTAAAGTAACAAGTATTTTTTAATTCATTTAACTTTCTTATTTTATTAGTTTTTTCAGTAACAGTACATTTTAGTTTTAATGATATATATATTATTTCATTAATAATATTTAAGGCTTCTAGAAACGCAAAGAAAATTTACTTCAGCTTCTATGCAATTGGTGATGTTCATAATATAACCTTACTTATCTAAAAATTGCTTGCGTACTTTACTTTTGCAGTTCATAAGCAGAAATAAAAATTTCCAATAACACAGAATTTAAATCCCGTAAGTAAAATACAGAGACATCTGGTGGCAATAAATGCAACTGACTACCGATTTATGCATACTCCCGTACACATAAATCCAACACAATAGTGTAAACGGTCTTCCGCCTGTGTAGTTTCTCTGCCAGTTCTCTGATTTACAATAGATTTCTGATTTTTTTTCCCTTAAAATTTCTCATGATTTTCATTAGCTTGGCTTAATACTTTGTTATTTGCACTCAAAAAAGGTCATTTGGGGCATCTGAAAGCCCTTTATTTTTCTCTATATTACATACACTACCCGACATTGAAAATGAAACACCAAGGAGTGGCCCGAAAGTGATAAAACTCGGCAGAGAGACAGCAATGAACAATAAGTCATCTTTATTTCGAAATGATATGCGTAATACAATAAGGGTATATATGATACGAGAACTTGGTAAGACAGTAATTACTCAGCAGGTTGCAAGAACACCTTGGACGGTAACACATGAAGCAACCCATCTAGGTACATGGTCAGTGAGATTACGGTTGGTCTCCTGAAGAATGGCTCCCCATTCTCTGTCACAGTTCATCTATCTTCTGAATGCAGCAGTGGCAAGGTGTGCAAATGGTGTTCAATAACATCCCAAACGTGAAAGATCAGAAGAGAACGGTAGCCAGGGAATCATCTGTACAGCTTGCAGAACACGTTGGGTGATGCGAGCAGTGTGTGGTCGGATTTTATCCTGCTGATAAAGCGCACTGAGCACTCTATGAAGGGAGGGGAGTGTCACTGGCCACAGTATATCATTCATGTATTGTTGGGCTGTCAATAGAGCCTTGTATATGAACTAGAGGTGACCTGGAATCGTATAAAATAGTGGCCGAAACCATGATGCGGTTGGGCATTCTACAATTGATGCCGGATTGAACCTGTCTCTACATTGATGCCACATTTGTACTCACATTGGAGAAAAAGAAGCTCGACTCATCTGAGAACATGGATTGGATTATTCAGTTATGGCAAAGCACACGAGGGTTATCTGCCTAAAGGGAGGGATGCCTTTCTAAGGGAAACTGGCTCGTATACACGTTACGCATGGGAAAAACCATGAAAATGCCCATGCAACCAGCACGTTCACTGGATCCGTACTACCAGTGTTCAGCGACGTTATCACTCGGCCACTGGTGGGTACCATCTAAGAACATCACCCTGTGCCATTTCGTCCACATCACTCGAGCTCAGCACCATTGCAGATGGCGGAGTCCATGATGTGGGGTCAATGGCAGTCTTTTTGATGGGCGCCACAAGTGCAGGTTCATCAATCGACAGCAAATGGTACGGTCAATATGGGAAGAATTATAAAATTTTGTAAGAAATTTATCTTAACGTTGCCAAATTTAGCACAGCAGAAAGTATTTATTTCCCAAAATGTCCCTATAGAGAGAAAAATTGCTTTTGATGTAATAATTTTCACTCTTTATTTGCAAAAAAGAAATAATTTCCAAATGTTTCCAAATCCAAGGCTTCGTGCTCAGAAACTCAAGAGTTGCGCCATTTTATATTAGAATTCAAACAAAACCTTATCAAATACAGTACAAAGTCTTTAATCCGGACTCGCCGGGACCTTGGCGATTCTGGATTATAGATCAATTTAAATCTGGTAAGATGGCATGCAGAAATTATAAAATTAAAAATATGAAACCGTAATTTATGAAATAAAAAGCAATTATGATCTAAAGGGTATCAAAATTTACAAAAATAAAAAGCTTAATATTTATTTGTTTACTTTATTAAACATTTCTTTCAATGTAAGTTGTTTAAGTTGCTTTGTTTTATGCGCTAATACTTTCTCTTTAATTTTATGAACGGACATAATTTCTTGTTCAGTTACAAAGTTCTGCTGTTCAAGTCCTGTAATTGCTGTGCTGAGAATACTGACTTGTCAATTGAAATGTTTTCGTTTTCACTAACCTCTCTGTCACTTTCTTCATGCCTTTATCCATTTTTTACAGCAATTCCACTTCTTGTTTGATGGACATCGAAACATTCTTTTGCCTTGTAGATCCTTTGGCAGCTCCAGAATCGGAAACTCTTGACATAATCGAAATTTCAAACTTACTTTTTATAAAATTGCTCTAACAGTCTGCAAAAAATCGTTAGCTGGATCCAATTAGAAGATTAAGGAACAATGCAATCTGCAACATTAACTGAAACAGATAATTAGATACTTTTAGCCTAGCTTATACCGTCCATTATACATTAAACGCACATGCATAAACCCTATGCATGCACAGAAAGTTTGTAGCTTTGAGGTCCGGATTATAGATCATTCCGGATTAAAGACTTTGTACTGTACATACTTGTTGATAATTGCCAAAAATGTTCCTCCAGAATGTTAATTCAAAGCTGAAA